TTTCCCCTGTTTTCAGGCTTGCATCATTTCCACGTGTAAGAATTGCAACGTAATGTTGTCTGTGGCGCTGTCCCCAGAAAACAGCTATCCTATTTCACCAACCAGGAACCCAGCAGCATGTCTTGCAACTGCCTCCTGTTCCAGCGTCTGGGCTGTCGGCTGAGCATGACCTAGTCTCTTGAGACTGATGCCTAAAGCTCCACATGGGGTATGCCTGTGAAGTTGCCCTGGAACTGAGACCATCGATGCTGGACGTGGTGGTTCTGCTCTGTGCCACTAGGTACATGAGCAGGGCAGGAGGGATGGAAGTGTCATGTTGTGGTCCCTGGGCTTTGTTTGAAATTAGTCTCTGCTGCACTTGAGGCAAAATTCAGACTATCATTTTACTAAGGCTTTTGATAGAGGGCAAATCTATGACAGGATCTCTTTGTTATTTCTAAATGTGCTGAGAAACAGCCAATATTTAATTAGTGAATACTTAAGTCTTTTTTAACGGTCTTTTTACCAGCAGCTTTCTGGCTTTTTAGGACTCTGTATCTCCCCCCACCTCTCTTGTCCTTCTTGGAATTGTCTTCCAGAGAATAAGACTTTCTCGTGCAGGAAGAAGTGATTTCTCACCAGTTTTGCTGACACACTTGTTTTTTACTGTTTCAGGGTTGTGAATCTGTATACGGCAGTGTCTCAGGACTGAAATCTCACCTTGGCACATGTACCTTGGTTGGTAGCCTTCCTGTACCCACTACCTTTTATACCAATAGTCTGACTGTCCCTGGCCCTCAGATATCTCCTTGTGCAAGCTGTTGCCATCCGCTAATGTGAGATCCTCACAGTTGCAGTGCTTCCCTATGTGCTATTGGGGTTGCCATTGCAAACACTGCTTGAGGCCAGGAGGAAGCATCTTAATGGCCTGCACTTTAGTGAAGCTGCAGTCCTGCCTGCAGATTCACAGCTACAAGAGCACTCTTTACCGGTACAGTGCTGGAGACCTTGTAACATCTCACAGAGCAGTCCTGTGCTTTATGGGCATAACGGGTCAATAATGTCAGTGTTCCAGTAGCTAAAGCATTGTCTGGTATAAATAAAGAGTTTCTACTTCTTGCTGCTGGGTTATATCTGAGCAAGTTTCAAATACAAGGTGTATCAGCCTTCTAGGCAGCAATGGATGATGGATATTTTTGTTTTGGTGCCAGGGAGACTTTGTGGCTGGTAAATACAAGTGTCTCTTGTGTGAGAAGGAGTTCATCTCAGAGAGTGGAGTCAAGTATCACATCAACTCTGTGCACGCTGAGGTAAGGTAGGCAGGCAGGAACTCCTCAAACCCCAGGTTGCTGGATTTGGGGAGGGTGTCTTGGCAAGGAAATGGTGGGTGCTTGCCCTGTGTTATTTTTTCCTTGCTCACTGTTGGGAACAGGGTCCTAGAATCAAGTGTCCTTTTGATTTGCTTAAACGGAGCTGGTCGTAGGGATTGGTCTGGGGAGCTGGTGTTGTGTCATGTCACATGTCTTGTCCTAAGCTGCTGCCGCTCTGTTCAGCTCTTCAGCATTTCCCATGCCTTTAGCCAGTCTAATTGCTGAAGCAAATCTGAGTCCTCTGAGACAGCGTGTCACCTGAGGAGGAACACTGAAGAGCAGAGCTTTGTTCAGCAGCTGCCTTTCAGGGTCTCACATTTCAGAAAGTGCTTGTCCCACAAATCAGCTTGATTATAAGTAGCTTATATGATAGGCTTTATATGGCATTTCCACCATCAATACCAACCTGTTGCCTTCTAACCCTCCAGGACTGGTTTGACGTAAACACAACTACAACCAAAAGCTTTGAGAAGCTAATGAAAATCCGCCAAAGAGAAGAGCAGAGAAAGCAACGAAAGAAACGTCCTTTGACCCGGGGCAAAAAGAAGAGAACTGGGACCCTGGCTGCCAAAAAGCTGCCTGCTGCTGGAGTTGAAAAAATGAGGAGGAGTAAGCGGGGTCGTCCACAGCGGGTGGACAACGAGAGCGTGAGTAGCGAGGAGGGGGAACCCCAAGGTGCACAGAGAGCTGAATTTCCAAAACCCAGCCGCAAGCGAGGCAGGAAGTAAATCCGTGGAGGAGGAGAAGGAGTAATCCTAAAGCTTTCCAGTCACAAGCCCCACTTCTGTCAGGCTTATAACCCACAACACTAATAAAAGCAACTGAATGTCTTTGGTTCTGTGACTCCATTCTACTCTGTGACCTTGATTTTTGAAACTGTTGCCTCTGAGAGACTCAAACCAAAGCTCTAGTACAGAGGCCGCCTCTCCTGGTGTAGTTCCCTTCGACAGTGGCACTAGCAGTGTAGCCAGAGTAGTTCCTGCTCTGGTTACAGTCTCAGTCCGGGTCACATTAGTTGCCTGTTTAGTGGTTTCTAGCACAGCAGCTGTTTTGTCATCTTCCTCTGATGGGTGAGATCAGGGTTCTGTTTTTAGCAGTTCTTCCTGTTAGGGGCTGACTAGCACAGAGTGTCAGTCTCATCAAGAGGGGAATCCTTTCTTGCACAGTATGCATACAAATGAAGGAGTGCTGTGCACAATACAAAGGTTTTAGCTTGCCCTGTACCTGTCCTGTCTGTTGTCAGCAAGGCTGCCACGGAAAAGCGAATCTCTTCCCGGTGTACGCTCCAGTCTGTTGCACAAGGTAATGTCTCTACTCCATACAGTGAGGCTCAGCACCAGACAGCACGTGAGCTCTGGTCTGCTTGGAAGTGATGGGACATTATCATTACCTCATCAGGAGCCCTGTATTCCCCTGGTATCTGTTTTCTGTAGCACTGGGCATTGAATGTATGTAGAGAGCCTTCCAATCCAGTGAGAACTAAATACTCTCCAGCCTTTTGGAGATTTCACTGGCCTTTGAGAGACCCCCAGTAACTAAGATGGCCTCCTGGGCCCTCTGAGGACACTTGTTTCAGTCTCATCTGGAAAACAAACTTATTGCAAGACAGTGCGCCTCTGCAATAGAGGTCTTGCTGTGCTGGAACCCAGTTCCAGTTGAACTGCCTTGCCAAAGTGTTGCTCTTTGTCATACCTGTGCTCCCATAGTGCCCTTTTTTTTACCTTTGTTGTGTTATGTCACCTGTTTCTTTTCAATACTGCTTCCTTGCAGTTCTTTGAGGTATATTAGCAGTGGCTTCCCTGTGTGGAAAAGGTTGAGAGAAGAGAGTTTGTTATTTTAAGTCACATGTTGTCATGAACTCTGGATAGTAGGGAATATCTGTGTGTGCTCCATAACCACTGCAGATGTCACAGCAGCTGGTAGGAAGCAGCAGCACAGGCAGTCCTCTGTCTTTGAAAGAACAGGGTCTCTTGAATGTTATCCAAAGAGCCACTGTACCAGGAAGTTGCAAAATTTGACCTTTTCCTTGCAGTTTTGCAGTCAAGAAAATAGGCAGCTGGCTCCATGTTGCCTTCCTGTGAATTTTCACCGTCTAGCAAAGCTGCTGGTGCTGAAGGTCAGAGGGAAGCCGTGGCAGCGCCCGGTGGATAGGCAGGTGTGTTCCTGTGTGGTACTGCAGGAATGGTCACGTTGGCCCGGGCAGTGGGAAGTGCTGTGTGGCATGGGGTTCTCAGGAACTGCCTCTCCTGTATGATAGGCAAAGCAGACCCCAGCTGAGCACAGTCTGTCTCTTGGGGATTGACACCAGTGTGGTGGTCAGACAGCCTGCAGTGCTCCGTTGGGATCTGTGTGGCTGGTCATGCTGCCCTTTGGAACCAGCTGTCACTGTGGCTGAGAGCTGTGCTGGAGGTGCAACTCTGGACTTGTGTAGGGTGTTTAAGGTTCACAGTAAGAGGGGCAAAACCAGAAGATGGCAAAATAAAATGTCACTAGTGCAAGATCGTGGTTTCCTGTCTGTTCATGTGTAGTGTTCTTGGAACCATCCCTACCTCCACCACACAGCCCAGCCTCCCACTTGCTTGTCCTGCATGCTCTGGGGCTGTTCAGGTGTCTGCACTGTGCCTCCTCAGTACTCTGCTCTACACAGCTATACTGTGACCATGTGTTTACTACCTTTCTGCCCAATAGATGGACAACACAATAAACCCATGAATTAAAGGAGGTTTTTCTTAGTGGATTTCAGTCTGTAGAGTCCTATTTACTGTCATTTATGAGTTACTAACCAGACCTGCTTTCTAGGCATGGATACTTTCTGACCGCCGGGATTTTGCAGAGTCACAAGAACACAGTTCCCTGCCTGACATGGCTGTCAGGGGCCGCTCAACTCGGCCGACACGTGAGGGTTCGTTTGCTGTGATCTCAAGGTGCAAAAGAAAAACCAAAAAGGGGAGTTTGAATTCAATCAGACAGTGAAACTTTATTGTTTGCCTGTAAAGAAGCATGTGATAGGTAAAAGAGTGACAGGAAAGGTAAAGTAAAGAGGGGAAAGAGAGTAATAGCTCCCAACGTGGGGCCAAGGCGTCCCGCTGGTCCCAGGTCCTTGCGGCGTCCCACTGATCCTTACGATCATCGTGATCCTTGGTGGGGAAAGCTGCTGAATTTCAGTTGCTAAGGATCCATCTTTTATGCCAGAGGATGCACTTTGCTCCTCCTCTGTCCCATGGGCTCCTGCCAGTCTCCACCTCCTTCCTGTCAATCTCCACCTTTCTCAAGCAAAGCTACCACACATGCTCAGGGAGGAGTGTCCGAGGCGTGGTCTGCCTTAGAGGCAGGTAGCTTTTGGCCAGGAGGTGTGTGTTCATATTATAATGATATTATGATGAGCAAAGGTCACACAAAGTGTATGATTTCCTCATTGTTGCTGAGGCAGCAGTAGTGATCAGTATTCCTGGACAGCAGCTCTGCAGTTTGTCCCAACAGCTCTGACTCCCCTAGATACTGGAGACCAGCACAGCACACCTCGTACCACACCATGCTCCATCCCAGGGTCTGCACCTGTGTGTCCATAGGAACCACCCTGCATTCCAGGGATCAGCAACTGCTTCTCAGGCAGGCCGCTGCAGACTCTTGTCAAGATATTAGCCTAAGTTTCAGGGTACCTGATTGTCCAAGTCTCTGATGACAAGGTTGAGACAATATTCCTCTTCTGGTTGTCTCTTACAATGGCATGTGGAAAAAAAATCACCATCCAACAGTCTGTTTGTGGAACTTCAGTGTTGCAGCAGATCGTTTGCTGATTTGGCTCTAGCTGGTGAGAGGTAGTGGCTGCTGCACCAGCACAGTCCACTGCTGCTGAGGAGTGTCACCTGCACTGCAGCACCTGCCTCCTGCTGTAGATAGACTAAGGCAGGCCACCCATTATGACTGCAGCCATGCTCTACTGCTTGGAGGGTGTGGGAAAATGGAGCCTCAGGGAAAGTATTTTGAGTGGGCAGTTCACAACAGCATGTGTTTCCAGGGCTATAAACAAAATACTAAACCAGCCCACCATGCTAAGATTTACTGTTCAAGCACCCATGAGTCCACCGTTCAATCCCTTGTTAAAGAGCTTGGCTGGCCTCACATTCTGCAAATCCAAGTCAAAATTCTACCCTGTAGAATCATGGAATGGTTTGGGTTGGAAGGGACCTGTAAAGATTATCTAGTCCAGCTCCTCTGCCATGGCAGAGGCACCTTCCACTAGATCAGGTTGCTCAGAGCCCCATCCAACCTGGCCTTGGACATTTCCAATGGTGGAGTATCCAAAATTTCACTCATCCTGTGCCAGTGTCTCACCACACTCACATAAAAGAATTTCCTCCTTATGTCTGATCTAAACCTGCCCTCTTTCAGCATAAACCATTGTGCATTTTCCTGTCGCTACAGGTCTTGGTAAAAAGTCTGCCACCATTTTCCTTCGCAGCAGAGAAGTTCAGCCCTCTGTTTTCCTGTTTTTCTCTGGACCTGCTCCAACGGGTCTGTGTCTTTCATGTGTTGGAGGCTCCAGAGCTGAACACATCACACACAGGGGGAATCTCATGAGAGTAGGGTCAACTTGCTGTCCACACTGTGTTTCATACAGCCCAGGATATGGTTGGCTTTCTGGGCTGTGGGCACAGTGCTGGGTCACGTCCAATATTTTGGTATCTCCAAGGCCTCTGCAGGGCTGTTCTTGATCCATTCATCCCACAGCCTGTGTTGATATTGGGGACTGGTCTGACCCAGCTGCAGGACCTTGCATTTGGTTTTGTTGAACTTCATGAAGTTTATGTGTGCCCAACCTCCAGCCTGATGCTCTCTGGGTGTCCTTCAAGCAAACCAACTGCACCACACAAGCTGGTGTCATCCACATACCCGCACTCAATCTGCATCGTTGGTGAAGGTGTTAGGTGCTGTTGGTGCCAGCATGGACCCCTGAGGGACACCACTCATGGCCCTGGCAAACCTGGCCTTGCTCTTCTACATTCTATTTGAGCGAGTGTCTATATAGAAAGAGATGCAGTTCTGAGGGGAGGGGAATGATAGAAGAGCCCAACTGGTCACTTGATGCTCATTCCAGGGTTCAGTTACTCTAAAATGGTGTGTCTTCTCATTTGAACTTTTTAAATTTCAGCCTCTGCATCTCCTACTGCTCAGTTCTGGTAGCTTAAATGGCTTTATGGCACCAGATACTTCTTCCTGCGTGTTCGTGGTCATGATTGACCCCACACATACTTTGCTGTATGTGCTAAAGAGCATTTTTTTTCCTTTTTATTTTTGTTGTCACTGTTCTTTGCTGACATTTTGTACGTTGATTGGTGTGATTTTGGCCTTTAAGTCCAGACACACAAACCAGGAACCAATATTGGTATTCTGTAATAGTCTGTTTCATGTAAAATATAAGGATAATGTTTCTCTGCTCTTGGCTAACTTTTTCTTTTCCTCATCAACTGCTTCATTACACTGTTTACATTGAGTTCACCATTCGCCCTCATCAGTGCATTTTTCAGTTATTCTGAAAATGCATCTGAGGGTCCATTTGCTTTCTCTCTAGAAATTCATGTTAACAGGGTTTAAGGCCATGAAGTTTAAGATGATGAACTCATCTGTCCTTTCTAAAATATCATTATAAATTTCACAGAATTACACTAGCAGAGGCCTTAATAACTGTATTTTTTTAAGCAACTTTTCCAGAAAACCTTGTTCTATAATCAGTCTTTTAATTGCTTTAATTAGTCGTCAGTTTTTTTAATCTTCAGATTTTCTTTGCAATTGTTTTATAATTCCATTAGCTCTC